GACGCTGCTGCTATTGCGCAATCCTGCGCGGTCGCGAATGGGTTAAGGATTCCTAGAAAGCTGGACAGAGTTTGCTAGAAATGGGTCAAGTATTTTTGAGAGCAAAAGGGAAATTTTCGGGAAGTGGGATTTCTATCAGAAGAATCCCCCTGACATTTTGTCGCTTCGCAGCAATTATATACCCACCCCCTTCCCCTCTCCACTCACTTGACCGATCTCCTTGGGAATTAAGCGAAATGGAAGTTTGAAGATGGAAGGCGATGGAATCCTGTGGAGAAACTATCGAAGGAAAACCAAGATGGGAGTTGAGTGAGCATCTGCTCCAGAGCAAGGATTCGTGCTCACCTCGAAAATTTTACGCAATAATTGGCTCCGCCTTTAGGACCACCCCAGTCCCAGTCAGTTCAAAAATTGCGCACACGTTGGAAAGTAGGGCGTTTTGGCACTATCAAAGAGCCCGCTAGGTTGATAGAATGGTCACGGAAGGATTCGCGGTCATCGCCAACCTTACCACCATCACTCTCTTACAGATTGCAGCAAAAAGCACGAATACAGCGGAATGTTAACAGTCGATGGTACCATATCGAAACATGCAAAAATCTATCCAAGAACAAGCATGGTTGATTGATTCATAACGACAAACCGAGAATAGAAGTACGATGAGATACATGGACAACTCGAAAAGCAGAGCTTGTCCTGACAATAAATATTTACCAAAACCGATTCTCCTTTTGACTTTAAAGCCATCGTCTGTATAATCGTTGGAGCGACTGAAACTACTGGCCACTTGCCACATTCCAGAGCAAGCTCAGGTCAGTCGCTGACTTGCTGCAGCTTGGCGCGAATTTTCGAGCACGTGTGTGACTGGGCGGCACGATGTCGTGAACACAACGTTTTTCCACATCTGAACAAATTCAATTTGACACTGGAAACCGAGCGAGAACCTGCTAATAAGGTCGAAACACTAATTTCCATTCATTTGGCCTTTACAGTAGACTTGCATGACTCGCACGTCCTGGATGGGATACCGTCTACATCTAAGCAAACCCACTACACTTGAACTACAGCTAGCAGTTTCCGACGAAAAAAAGGTGCTATCGCAAAGCACGGGGCATTGTGGTGACAGTGCAATTAAAACCGTGTGAAACATCTCAGGCAGTAAGATGCGTGGCGCATTTCTGTCAAAACGGGACCCAGCTTTAGGCAGCGGACGAGAACTCCATGGTGCGTGCGTGAGCCATCTTAATTTTCCCCGGCTTTCCTGTCCCCTCCATGGCTCAGTCCGATGGATGCTCTCGTATAACTTCGTATAATGCCAAAAATCTACTATGGATTTATCACCTGCGGCAATTGCAACGACAAATGAGCATAGGACTCCACTATTACGAGTTACTAATGAGCTCAGCATGCGGCCGCATTTTCAACGTATTGAATAATGACCCCCCTTACCTCTTCAGACCACTCAAACAACATTAGGATTAAGCTTGCATCAGACAAATACAAGCGCCAATCCACGCCACAAAGACATCAAGAGAAAGTTTGTTGATGATGGCGCAGTCGCGAAGCAGCTGAAGCCATGGACAAAAAAAGGTCTACATTATTTACTTCAACATTTTTTCCTTTCTTCCGGAACCAAGTTTCATGACCAATAGTGTTGTGCATTGAGTAATAAATTTATCAAAGTTCATGAAGTAATAAATTTACCTGCAATTAAACGCGCTGTTTATACGAAAAGCACAGACATTACATCGCGCCGCTCCGCCACGCATTGCCATTGAACGGACCGCTCTCGTCGAAACTCCACGACGAACTGGTAGCTGAAACAAAAACACAATTAAGATTGTAGAAGAAAGTTGCAACTGTCGACAGCCTCACCGCAAATGCAACTGGTTCAACTTGGCTAGCTTCATTATCATCGGATGATGATCGCTCACGATGAGTTATGCGCGGCTTACTACGCGCTCGTTGGCGGCATGTCGATGGAGCGGGAGGATGCCGATGTCGTCGCACCTGAAAAAAAAAACTCAAAGACTAACAACAAATGGAAAATTAAATACGGGAAAAACGGTGTGATTTTCAAGACACGCGGAGGACTTTGTTCATCAGAAACAGTAGACACCAAATGTAGAGGTTTAGCTTACGACTGAGCAAGGCAAATGCTTTCCCGCGAGTAAGACATTCAGAAATATAAAGATAAAGGCGTGCCTTTCCCCGATTTGAAAGATCGCGGCAAGGGAGCTGGGGCTTCGTCTATTGGCTGAAACTGGCTGTACCCGTTACATAACTGTTACTCATCACTATTAAGCTGGTCGCTCAGCTTATTGGGCCAGTTCTGCCGTCTTCAGTAGTGACAACTAGCCATACAACAAGTGCCAAGTAGAGCATCGCATTCGTACAGTAACGAATCAATGGTTTTTCTTGAGTTACCGTAGTAAACCTCAACCTTTGGTCTTTCTAGTACCCATAAGCATACTACTATCAAGCTCCCCCGCTTATAGGCTGTCCGGGAAGAACTATGAATTTTCGGCAGGAGTCTCGCCCATCGTAAAACACGCTCCGCCTCTTCAATCGAGTCTACGCTTATTTTAGATGTGCTCCGCATATTTTGAGCCATTCCTCATACATCTCTTCATCTCCATTCCAGCAGACGACGTGAACATGTAGTTTACGACTTCCGGCCATGACCCCTAACAGAAGTCAAGACAACTACACAAAATTGTAACAAGAAACAGTTTTATTCGGTTGTTCACTATAAGTAATGTGAATTGATTTCGGTTCTTCGCTCCCTTGCAATCACAACTCGGAAAAAAACGCGAAATTGCTAATTCCTCATCAGTAGTGCAATCATTTCATCCACTGCGCATCGTGTACAGTACATGATGAGGCAGCGATTTTGTATGGAGATGTTCAACATTTCCTCATTGTAACCTGATAAGGACAAAGATCCGGAATTGGACAAGAACAACACACGTGCAAGGGACAGCGCCATAAGAAGAAAGTTCTGAATTACTGACTCTCGCAGTGAAAAATTCAGTGACAGCCCCTTGAATTTCTCCCAAATTGCTGTAGAAAAAAAACGTGTTAACTTTGGCTTCGAGTGCTTGAAAAATAAAAATGGCTTCATTAAACCACTTCTTGTGAATGTTCCCCTTCATATATTCATCAGTATATGTTTTCAAAACCTGCTCACTTTGATTACCTTATCACCTTTACCATGTGATAATAGTTAGTTCCACTAATCAGAGATGTACACCAATATTGTAAAATTACAGCACATATGTATGGTGCTTATATGATAGGCGCACATGATATAGATGAGAAAGTTCTGCTCATCCGCGGCGCTTATAAACAGGTGCCGGCCACACGCGCCAGCCAGCAAAAAAATGCCGCGGTACAAGGGGGAAATTGGAACTAATGCGGATTGAGATCTTAGGT